GCGAGAAAAATTCGAGAGGGGGGGAGCTGAAGAGAGTTTCAAAGATGTAAAAGAGACAAAGGTAGAAAAAAGGTGAGGTGAGTACTGTGAAAGTGGTGAAATATGACATGCAGTGAGGTGATGGTAGTTTGAAGTCAGAAATCAACTGCCGGTTTATAGACCTTTTAGCCGTATGAGTATACGTTGCCCAGGCTGCATTACGTGGAGGTAGGTCTATCTATTTCAGAGGTATACTCGTATCAACTAAATTCAAAGCTTGTTTACAGGTTTAATTTAATTCATCGGAAATTTGTGTTTCCTCGACTATGTGATGTTTTTAGCACAACCCGTAAATATCAACCTTATAGTTGGTAGTTGAACTTATTTTTTGCTCATTTACGCTAGTTCAAATAGGATCTATCTATAGAATTTTATACCTTTATCTAAAGCACCCAATTGCATCGCATTGTTTGGTCTAAAAACACATTTTGTTTTTCAAACTATTACAAAACCGTTAGCTGTAAATTACGATAGAAGATTGAACGTTTGTGTTAACTTGACTTCTTGCAACATGTTTTCCTCATGCAGACATGTTTATAAAAGTTACTAAAATTCGTAAAGGCCTGTAATTAATTTATTTCTGATGTCTAAATTATCGGTCTCTTTTGAAATAAAGCAGGGGGCATGAAATTGGATGTAAGTTCATAGATCAATCACATTCTGAGCTCGCATTGAACGGCTATTTTGTTGGCGGTTAATACTATCTAAAACATTCCATCTTCTACTCCCTTTGAATATAATTGCATGTTTTCTTTAGAATGTGAAATCATTTCCTCCGTGTGCTTCATTCCAATAACTGTTGCGAATGAGAAAAGGTTTCATACTGCCTTTCCTATTTTATAGGCTTGTAGCAGATTGCGACACTAATAAGCCTTCACTTATGCTCAGTACTTTCTATGTCGAGATCTCCTAGTTTGGAATGGCTCCCTGGATTACCTTATCTATCTCGGCGATATGGAGAAAGCAAACGTATGACGTGGTACACGTTTTTTTAGACTGTACATGTTAGGTTGTGACACTGACAAGGACTTTAGTCGGCTACGTTGACAGTACTGTGACTATCGATTGCTGATTAACTGGGAGGTCTCTGCGCTCCCTTGTGCGATCAGCATTACTTCCGAGCGTTCCAGAATGTTTGATCAAGTAATGGTATCTTTGGCTCAGCAATGTTTGGGAGGTGCTCCCCACATACTTATATCTCCCAGCTATAGGAAAAATGTCCTATTTATGAATGGCTGTATTTATAAGTTATTATTTTAATTTTACTCAGATCCGGTGAGAATTACTTTATAAATCACGCCTATTTCTCTCTATTGCGTAGGTACGATAATTATTGTGCAGCTACCTAATTAACCAATGAAAAAGTAAGAGGCCTCCGTTCCAGAACAACTGCCTCAAAATCTTGGTCCTGATGAATGAATTGCGAAGAAAAATGGATATAACTTCTGTGGATAGCTTCGTAGATGGACTTGTTACGTAATTATGTGAAATCTCTGCGCACTTTAATATTTTTCCCTCAGTCATCCTAATTGATGCTAAATTTTAGTTACTTTATGCATATTACGCAGACATGTTTCTATTTACCCAACAATATTTGTTCTGAAATAGCATACAATCGATTTTATTGAACTCTGAAGGTCAGGAATATTAATGGGATAGCCAATTAATGCATAAACGGTTTCGATTTTCATATAGATTGGGGATTTACGTCTCTCAGTCGGCCTCCATGCTGTCGAAAATTTTCCACAGTGTGTTACATTAACCAGACTGGACAACTTTTTTAACCCTCAGTGGTATAAAGTGGTCGTTTTTTAAGTAGTAATAATAAAGTTTCTCAAACTCACCTAGGAAGCCGTTTTTCAAACACTCACACTGAGTTGTTGACTAATATCATGGAAACTCAACCCTTGCGACATAATTTATCACACAGGCTCAGTTATTGTTGTTAACCACTCCGCCAACTTTATGTACACCACCAAGCATGAACCCCGACGAATCAGCCAATAAAGCATTAAAGAGTCAATTTATTATGCAATAATCAACTATAAGGTTAAACTATTTCTTTTAATGAAAAGCAATTAAAACCGCCGAATAGCAAGTTCTGTTGACGATAATGAGGAGAGGACCTTAAGGATTTGGAAATTTCTGTAGTTTTAGATTACCAGACCAAATCATTTTCAAAGTAATCAGTATTTATAAACTCATTTATTAGTTATTTTGTTCAGTTATTTTTGTTCACGTGAATTCAATTTTTCTTCCAAAGTTTATAAAGATATAAAGATCTAGCATGGTATTAAGCAGATTATGCTATCTTAATATAGTATAAATGGAAAAGTGATGCACACACTTTAGATCAGCCTTTTTCTTGTAAGTTTAATTGTGTATAAATTAATTGCGACAGTAGTTATTGTGTTGTGATGGTCTAATTTTATAGATAATATAAACCGGTGGTTAAATTCGAAGTTAACTCCCGCTTTAACCAAGTGCCAATTTGACGATGACAAAATTTGGAGAATTATTTCAAGTCGCCAATGTATACCTTTTCTTTCCCACAAGTTATTTTACATTACCTTACCCTAATTAATCATACATCTTTACCCATAAAGTTTACAGTTGGTGAATCACCGAATAAATGCGGCAAAATGCTTAATCACTGCTTTGTGGCCAGTTACGCGGTAAATTCATGTTGCCTAAAACTGGATTTAAAGCACATAAGAAGCAGAGGATGGAATTTATGTAACCAACTTTTGCAGCTCATGTTTTTCTGACGAATCGGTAATATAGCATTGATGTCAGCCTATTAGATCATTCTAATGATCATAACAATATCTTTTTGAAATGAAAAAATAGTTTATTATTTTAAATGTGATTTTAGTGGTATTTATACTTTTACCACAGAAAGTCAATTATTTTAATAACTATTTCTGTAGTGGTGGTGAAGTTGGCAGAAACGTACTTGTAGCGGATTGCTACCTTGGTAAAGCCTGACTGGCTCAGAAATATCTATGGCAGATTCTTCTGACTCAGAAATCTCTTTGGCAGATTCTCCTACATCTAGACCGACTCAGAAATCTCCATGGCAGATTCTCAAACATCTAGCTACCGGCTCAGAAATTTCTATGGCAGATTCTCCAACATCTAGCTAGGAATCAGAAATCTCTATGGCAGATTCTCCAACCTCTAGCTAGAGAACAGCTAAGCTATAGCTCAGCTATAAAGAAAACAGACGTGTAGCACGGAGCGCGTTTATATCTGTGGCAGATTCTCCTACATCTAGCTAGACTCCCAGAACGGCAGATTCTCCAACGTCTAGCTAGACTCCCAGAACCAGGGAGATTCTCCTACATCTAGCTAGACTCCCAGAACCAGCTAAACCATAGCCCAGCTATAAAGGAAACAGACGAGTAGCACGGAGAATTCTCCAACATCTAGCTAGACTCCCAGAACAAGCTAAGCTATAGTCCAGCTATAAGGGAAACTGACGTGTAGCACGAAATGCGTTTATTCGGTACGTATATTGCATATAAAGGAAACAGATGTTTAGCACGGAGCACGTTTATTCTACAGAGGATACAGACGTGTAGCACGGAACATTTATTCAGTAGCGGAAAACAGACGTGTAGCAAGGAATACGTTTATTCGATACGTATATTAATAGCGAAGTGCTGAGTTTGGCAAAGCGATTAGTTATTAGATAACTCTTGCATAATTCGTTTGAACTTTAATAGCCAAATATTTCTGAATAGGGTTTTATAGCAGGATTCCTATTGGTCATTGATGATGTGTCCCACATACTCATCGCATTTGAGTTTTACTAGTAAGTTCACCTGCTTGTCGCGATCGGCCTCTCAATCTAACAAAAATTACACCTGAAAACAAAGCTCTCAATCAAAAAATCTTAAAAATTATTTCTAATCCGACCTGGCCCTTTCATAAAACAGCATGACATAATTATAGATGACTTTTAACTGTCAATAAATCATGAAAGAATATGAACTATCTATATTTAGCCCGATTTTTAATTCGGGTTTCTGTTTATTTATTTCCTCCGAATAATCGTTCACATTCAGATGCAGTGTTTTATTACCAAATTAAGAATCAAGACCGAATTTGGACTATAGTGCGTTAGAAAATGAAAATAGGCTTCCGTTAAGTTTAAACATGTATCCTTAAGCCATATTAATAGCGTTTAGCTCAATGTGACTCTGTTAAACCATTTTCTATTTAGTTTTAATTGAGTAGAAAAAGAAAGGATGATACATACATATCTCCGATTGCTGCATACCGATAGTGGAGCATTTTTAGCCAAGATAACCACACTTGCCATGTTTTATCATTTGAAGAGACAATTTTCTATTTAGAGATCAGTGTAAACAAAAATAAATTTACTTTTGAGTATATGATCAGTGTCCGTTCCATTAAGCTGCGTACTTAAAGAAAAAAATCATAAACGATTAATCAAGCCTCAGTTAACATATTGGCTTTTTCTGATCTGAATATGAGAATGTGGGTGATTTTTTCTAAGATAATCAATTACTGCCTATTTTCAGAAAACGTAAGTTTTATTAAGAAATTATATATCTCCCATTAAATACTATTTCTAAAATAAATTATGCATGCTATACTCTCTGATTGAAAAAGCGTTACGATATTTGTATTAAAGTTAAAAGTCAATCCGTTGTTATTAGCACTAGCAGATTGTTCACTTTGGCCTTGACAGTGAGAGCGTAGTTTGGATCCATGGGGTTATGAAAATGCGTTTTTTACCCGGCCGATTTGGGCAAAATTGCTTAGTCAAATTTTCTCTTACTTTAAATTTAATATTTTTTCTCGTGTTTTTAAAATCCGCTTATTTAAGTCTAAACTCGCCTCCAGTTTTATTTACTAACATCGAAGTTGTACACAAATATAACGCCTTACATACTCCAATAGTTTACATAATTACAGCAACTTATCCTCGAATGGTACAGTTTGCTGAACTTACAAGGCTGTGTCACACATTTTTGCATGTAAAAAACCTTCATTGGATCGTTGTTGATGACGTTGATTTTCAGTCGGCGTAAGTTAGTCTGCTCAAAGTTTTATGGAATCTATCTCTACTCATTTGCATTTTTGAATATTTGATTTATGCAGAGATCTTGAAGTATTTCTGAGAAAATGTGGAGTTCCTTTCACGTTGCTTTCGGAAAGGACCCCTCCAGATCAAGTCCTTCCACCTGGTCAACCTAGGTGGCGATATCCACGAGGTGTTGTCCAACGTAATCGTGGACTGCAATGGCTTCGCGACAATTTAAGACTCGGTGTTAATAAGGGTGTTGTTTACATAGCCGATGATGACAACACATATTCTCTTCGTCTTTTTGATGAAGTGAGCCTAAAAGCCTGTTTAATCACGATATTTTTGAAATTGCTTTAGCATTCAAATACATTTAATGTCGTATATAATTGTTCTTAACTTGTCTGAAGTCCTGCTTCAATAACTAATTTTGTGTGCATTCGTGTGAGCAAAGATTCAATTCTACTTATAATCTGTTAGTAGCATGATTTTAATTATTTCAGATCCGCACAACAAAACGCGTATCAACATGGCCTGTCGCCCTCGTTGGTCGGCTGCAATGGGAAGGATGTGTCACAAAGTCGGATAATCCAAATGTAGTCGATAAAATGCAGGCCATTTTCAAGCCTTGGCGAGAATTCCCCATTGACATGGCTGGTTTTGCTGTCAATTTGGATCTTATTCTCTCTCATCCTGATGCCAATTTCTATGCTAATCCTGAGTTCTTTGGTACACTGGAAACTAATTTCCTAAAGGATCTTGGTCTCAAAAATTTCACAGAACTTGAACCAAAAGCTGATGGTTGTAAAAAAGTAAGTTTAATTTCATTCTTTCTAAAAATAAAGTTTCATGCTATCAAATAGCTTGTTGTAGGTGATGGTATTTCAGTGAAGATTGTATTTTTAGTGATTTCTGAGCTTGAAATCAGCCAGTATATCCTATCTCTCTATTGATAAATTTGTCATATGATACTTTCAATTAAATTTTGGCGTTTTTTGCTTTTGATTCTACCCTCAGTGTAACTTTTATTTAAACTTATAAAGTCAGGTGACCAGAATTGTGTTGCATCGCTTACTTAATGATCACATTATTTTAAGTCATGAAAAGTGTGTGTGCGTTTTCCTTGTGCGTGTATGAATTTAGTTGACTTTTGCTATGTTTTGTTTAGGAACTACCCTCCTGTGTTAATTTTGTTTTCATTAACATCTTTTTGCATTTCAAAGTTCTTTCATTAAACCATCTTTGTAGATCATGATGAAATGATTACTCCTTTGTTTTTCTTATTTCTTATAAGTTTTGTCTTAAATGTAAGAAATTAAAAGGGCAATTAATAGAATTGCTACTTTATTCTCAGACGGTTCCTTAGATAAAATGAATACAGATTTAAAAGTTAAAAAAATCAATAACGTCATGGTGTTATTGTCATCATGTTCTCTCATTCTTTAAGAAGAGAAAACATGAATTGGAGTGGTACCATCAGCCGTCCCAATTAATGAGCCGATAAATCAATAGTTCCCAAAGCTGAATTTATTGTTTTTTTGGCTTTGTAAGTGAAAAATTTACAACTCCGATGAAAATCGAAACAAGTGCCACCATTTTGATAGCCCATATTCATTCTCTAGGTCTTTTTATCCCCTCTCTTCAACACTTTTGCTGTTATTCACTTTCGATCGAAATAAAGCGATGTAAATTTGTGCAATTAATTATTACTAATGGATGATCCACACACAAAATAAACTTTGCTAAATATCATGGTATTCCTTCCATAAGTCTACGTAGTTATAAGCCAATACAACGAGCCTCTAATGCAGATCTCCCGCATTTTTTTGCTGCACAAGTTAACTAGGCTACGTCAACGTGACGAGATACACCCTGTAAGGTCAACTCATTCCAATCGCCCAATCCTGATGGAATAATTTTCGTGAAATACTTTATTGAGGTGCGAATCGTCAAATTATCTAGACATCTAGGTGGGAGTAAAAGCACTCAAACTCTCATTTACTTTCCCCACCTTGGACTTTGGAAAATCTTTCAAAATAAAATTATCTTTTTACCCCACGATGGTTTCATTCATAGCAATGAGTGTAGCCAAAATTGTTTGCCGGAAATTAAAAATTGTAGTACAGGATTTTATTCCTATCTCCTGCGTGCATTGAATACACGTTTGTGGCTTATTTAATGGTCTACGATCACCTGAGTAATTTTCTAAACGAATAATCTGGGAGTAATGACTATGAATACCCAAAAGATTGTGATTCTGAGCTTCATTGAATCCCTAACTTTACATTTACTATTGAATGAAGTTAAGTGCGAAATGCAATTAGGATTTTGATTACTCTTTTAATATTATTAATCGAGTCTTCGAATGTACTGATTTACTGCTTCTATTTATAATTATTGACGCTTTAATTGGCTAAACGTGTTCGGCTTGCCTGGTTTGTGTTTACGCAAACTCCAGCCAAAGCTCAATTTAAATAATAAAAAAGTCCTTCAACTGTTTAATTTTTTAAGTAAAAAATTCATTTACTTTTCATTCTGTGTTGGCAAAAGTCTAGTATTGCCACGCAAATGCAATAAAATTAACTTCTAAGGAAGAAGGTAGACTCGTTTTATAGCGCATTTGAGTTTCCAACATATTTACAAGTTGTGTTTATCATCATGTCATGTGATTTGTATACGACGATCTTGATATGAGCTGCAATGACCAGATACATTGTGACTGTGTGAAAGCAGTTAATCACTGACATCATTTAACCCTTTAACGCCGGAATTTTTTTTTCTCGAAAAATGCACCCAACCACACTCACGCGTGTGTCACAGCAGCAGACTGATGCCGCCAACGTGATGAGTTTTGGGTGGTGTATCAGACGAAGGCTATAGACACGTATTTGGACATATTTCAAACGGTCCTGCAGGGCGTTAAAGTGCTAAAATATATTCATGGGCCCTCTGTGTTGTCCTTACAGTATTTATGCTGTTAAATCGCATGGAGATGTTAGCTTTACTTACTCCCTTTGTTAAAGTGAATTTGAGATCCATCTAGTGTCAGAAGAAGAAGAAGGAGTTCGCCAAGTAACCGCTCTTGTGGGATGTTGTGTGCATCCTTTCATGAAATCATTCCGACTTTGCCGTCGCGAAACGAAGAGACGAGAAAATTTTTCCGCAAGTGTGTAGCCTTCAAACCTACCAATTAATATTTAAAGTTGATAAAATGAAAATGCGTAACCTAAAAAAGGGAAAATCTCTCAAAGCTTGCACTTTTCGATGCATCAGAGTTTGAAAGTCCACTTGACTTCTTCCACTTCGCATGACATAGCCATAACTAAATTAGATTTTCTGTAAAAACAGGTTTTTTGTTTCAAATTATTGGGGAGAACTCAATCAGCGCAGCGATGTTGGTATGAATGCACTACCAATAAAGCACACTGAATAACAGAAATTTCCTAGTTTTACTGTGATTAAGCATCAAAATTGGTTGGTTCAAAGGGTAACTATCATGCTTCCTCACTTGAATTAGGGGGGTGTAAATTATTGTCCACAATAAACAATGCTGATTAATCTACTCTTTAATCATTCTGGTCGGTCTTGCCATTATCAATTAATCAATTTCGTAGGTTGAGAAATTCGAATGGTCATGCTTTATATTAAACAGCTTGCGTGATCCTAACGCACCAGATGGCAAATTTTTCGAATTAGATATTATATCTTATTTTGTCCATTTATTTGAAAATTGTTTATATCAAATGGTAGGCTTTATGATAGTTATCATTAGCCCTTTAGTTGACTTCGGGCTTCCCAGAGGGGAGGAACATCAAAGTAACTAAAGATCGAGGGGGGGGGGGGGGGGAGAGAAAGAGACCGACAGACACAAAGGCAGAGAAGAGGTAAGATGAGTACTATGAAAGCGGTCGGATGCGACATACAGAGGGGTCATGGTAGTTTGTAGTTAGAGATAAATTGCCGATTTGTAGACTTGCTGTTGTCCAGTGCGTATCACGTGGATTTAAGTCTATCGCGCACCCCTTATTTGATGATTGCATTAGTGAAATGAATTACCTCTCAAATTTTAGTAGCTTGCCGGGGGGGGGGGGGGGAGAAGCCTGTGAAACTTCATGATATTTCGTGCATTTGGCGTTCGCGTTTTTTCTTTTCATTTGATTTTTCCCACCTCTAACTCCTTCATAGAAGTATATACCATGTCCACTTATTCTCCTGGAAGTTTACATTCGACTTTAAATAAATAGGAGAATCGTTGAATCATCAACTCCTTCTTATCAATATTTCATACTACGGGGTGTGCGATAGACTTACCTCCACGTGGTGCACCCTGGGCAACGTATACTCATACGGCAAAAAAGTCTATTAACCGGCAGTTGACTTCTCACTTCAAACTACCATCACTCCACTGTATGTCATACTCGATCACTTCCACAGTACTCACCTCACCTTTTTTCTACCTTTGTGTCTCTGTCTCTTTTACATCTTTGAAACACTCTTCTGTTCCCCCCCCCCTCTCGACTTTTTTTCACTTTGATGTTCCTTCCCTTCGGTGAAGCCTGAAGTCAACTAAAGGGCCTATGATAACTATCAAAACGCCTGCCATTTGATATAAATAAATAAATATTGCATACTACTGTAAATGCTCGATGTATTTTGTTTTAGATTTTGGTGTGGCACACTCAAACGAAAGATCCAGATATCGTCTCATTGGATAAACTGAAGACCGGTATTCAAAATACCATGTTACCCTGTGAAATCTAATCCATTTAATCTATCTCTTCCTCCGTCTTCTCCGATGCCTTTGATCCTCCCCTCCCCCCTTCAATGTATTTAACTTGATTGCATTTAATTAGATACTTTTATAAACTGCTGGCACTCCGAATGTAATTTCAAAATGGTCCGTCCAATCACCCATTTAGTTAACCGCGTGTATCGTTCTATTCGATCAGCAGTATGTGACATTTTATCAATCGCTTTGATACAAATTGTGTGACTCTATCATTTTGCTTACTTCAGTCATATACAGAATGTTCATTCACTCACCTTTTTGAGCAATAAAGTTGAGCTTGGTTCGGGAATCAAATGTTTGAAGTTCTCGATATATTGTTTACTTGGCTCTCGTAGGCCAGGTCAGAGTTAACGAGATCGATGGTATTTCTGGCTCATAAGGGGGGAGGGGGGATAGTGTGTTTGGGTTACCTTGATTATTTATTTGTATCAAATGCCAGGCGTCTTGATGGTTATCATTAGTCATTTAGTTGACTTCAGGCTTCACAGAGGAGAAGGAACATCAAATTGAAAAAAGTCGAGAGGGGGGGGGGAGGAACAGAACAACGTTTCAAAGATGTAAGAGACAAACACAAAGGTAGAAAAAAGGTGAGGTGAGTACTGTGGAAATAGTCGAATATGGCATAGAGTGAGGTGATGGTAGTTTGAAGTGAGAAGTCAACTGCCGGTTAATAGACTTTTTTGCCGTATGAGTATACGTTGGCCAGGGTGCACCACGTGGAGGTAAGTCTATCGCACAACCCTGTTTGGGTTACCTATGAGAACACCTCCAGGATATCCCTCCC